GCCTCACTGACCACTGGGGATTTAAGTAAAAACCACAGTTAGATACCACCTCATATCCATTAAGATGGCTACTGTCACTAAGATAGGGTAGGGGGAAATGGGAACACATGTGCACTGTTGGTGGGAATGTAAAATGGTGCATCTGGTATAGAAAATGGCATGGTGGGTCCTCAAAAAATTAAAAATAGAATTAACATATGATGCAGCCATTCTGCTTCTGGGAAATGGCCAAAAGAATTGAAAGCAGGGACTCAAAGAGATATTTGTACACTCTTGGTCATAATAGCATTATTCAGAATAGCCAAAATGTGGAAGCATACCAAGTGTCCACTGACAAGTGGATGGAGAAGCAAAATGTGGTCTAAACACAGTGGAGCATTATTCAGCTGTGGAAATAAGGAAACTGTGACACAGGCTTCCGCATGGCAGACCTGAGTGAGATCAGCCAGAGAGCCAGAGACCAATATGGTCTGAACCCATACACGAGGGAGATCAAACCATAAACAGTTAGGGTAGGAGACTGGCTGCTGGGGGCTGCGGGGCAGGGAGTTCTTATTTAAAGGGTGTGAAGTTTCAGTTTTACAAGATGGAAAGAGCTCTGGAGATGACAGTGGTGATGGCTGGATGGCAGAGTGACTGAACTTAATGCCACAGAATGTGAAAGTTGCTCAATTGTGTCTGACTCTTTGAGACTCTGTGGACTTAGTCCATGGAGTTCTCCAGGCCAGAATACTGGAGTGGGTAGCTGTTCCCTTCTCCAGGGGATCTTCCTAACCCAGGGACCAGACCCAGGTCTCCCACATTGCAGGCGGATTCTTTACCAGCTGAGCTAGAAGTGAAGCCCAAGAATATTGGAGTGGGTAGCCTAGTCCTTCTTCAGTGGATCTTTCTGACCCAGGAATCGAACCGGGATCTCCTGCATTGCAGGCGGATTCTTCACCAGCTGAGTCACCAGGGAAGCCCTGATAAGCCACAGAACTGTGCACTTAAATAGTGGAAGTGTTAGTTGATCGGTTGTGTCTGACTCTTTGTGGTTCCATGGAACCCACCGGCCTCCTCTGTCCATGGAATTCTCCAGGCAAGAATAATGGAGTGGGTTGCCATTCCCTTCTCCAGGAGATCTTCCCGACCCAGGGATCAAACTCCTGTCCCTCGCATCACGGGCAGATTCTTTACTGTCTGAGCCTCCAGGGAAGCCCTAAAAAGGACTAAGATGCTGAATTGCGTCATATGTATTTTCCCACAATAAAAAACAGTAGAAAAGAAGATTTCTTGGCTTAAAACAACCCTGGGTTATTATCTCCTGTGGTTCTGTGGATTCGTGTGGTTCGGTCTCTGCATGGGGTCTTCTCGTGTGGTTGTGTTTCCAGCAGCGGGAGCTGGAGGCATCTGCAGGCTCAGTTGGGCCCATACGTCCAAGATCATCAATTGCTCACCTGGCGCCTTGTCTGGATCAGAGGGCTGGGCCCCCGGAGTCTACTGACGAAGCACCCACACAGGCCCACATCTTCCCGGGTGGGTGGGCTGCAAGAGTCCTGGTGTAAGCTGTAAGCCTGCACATCCCAGGACGTCTCTCCTGGCACTTGCTCTCAGGCACACAGGTCATGAGGGCAGCTCCGATTCCACGGGACAGCCTCAGAGAAGGAGCAGTTCACTGGAATCCACTCCACCTGGGAGTTGGTGATGAACAGGAAAGACTGGCGTGCTGCAATCCATGGGGTCGAAAAGAGTTGGACATGACTGAGCGACTGAATTGAACCCTAAAAATTATTATTTCAAAAGGCAATCAATTTGAAAATTGTGACTAAGATGCTTTACATCTTTTTTACCACATCTTCAAAATCAAGTGTGGACTTTATTTCCGACACATCTCAAGTTCAATTGACAAGCCTCATTGCAGCAACCAGTGAGGCCAGTGGCTGCACTGGTGGACGGTGCAGCTTCCAGGGCAAGGGGGAAGGATGAGGCTGACCTCACGCCCCTGGAAACATTACCACCTGAGGAACAAAACAGAAAGGATGGCAGAGAAACTGAGAACAAGCCCTGTGCAAATCTGACCTGAAGGCCACTCTGCATCTGGACTTCTCAGCACAGCGAGTCAGTCATTTCCTAATTGCTTCAGCCCATTGGAGCTGCATTTTCAGGGCCAAACCCAGAAGCCTGGCTGTCAACCAGGGTCACTAGCTGAGAGGGTCACCCCTTTTGATGGGGTCCAGCTGGCTTTTGAGGGGCCTCAGGCTAATTTTGGGGGCCCCGCTTCTTTCAGAGAAAAGAAAGATTACAAGTACAGATCAGGTGAGGGGCTTTGTGAGGGCTCTCTGCAAACGAGGCCCTGAGGCTTCAGCTGTGATAACCACGCAGAGCACTTTTGCCTCTGGCCCTGGGTCTCTGGGCAGACCCGGGAGATGCTCAAGTCACCTGCTTAGCTAGGATTCCTTCTCAACCCTAACCCTAACCCTAAGCTCTTTATAGCTGGTTTCTTAGTATCATTGGGCGTATTCGTTCTATAAGGTTCTGACCAGGTTTTTTCATTTTATTGTGTCTCTCCCGTTGTAGACAAGGGCACAGCTGCTTCAGGCAACCATTCCTGGGGCTGACGCTGCTGTCCCCAGGAGGAGGGTGTGGGGAGGAGGCCTCTAGGGCTTTGCGGTCAGTCTCCAGAGGCCTGGGGCGCATGGCCCCGCGGTCCGGACCAACATGCTCCCCGTTTTTCCTGAAAGTGCCCTGCTGTGGGCTCCTGGAGGTGAGACGGGCTGGTTTGGTCGAACGAGGGCACGCAGGGCAGCTAGTGAGTCTAGACGGGACGGGCAGACCAGACCCATGACAACGGGGAACGGGGGTGATGTGAGGCGGCTGGGATGGGGGACAGAGTCGGTCCAGGAGGAAGGGCGACTGCGAGGCCGCGCCCCAGGATGGGAGGCTGAGCTTCCACTGGACTGGACACTTGAGTTCAGTTCAGCTGAGTCACTCAGTCATGTCCAGCTCTTTGCGACTCCATGGACTGCAGCACGCCAGGCCTCCCTGTCCATCACCATCTCCCAAAACTTACTCAAACTCATGTCCATCGAGTTGGTGATGCCATCCAACCACCTCATCCCCTGTCGTCCCCTTCTCCTCCTGCCTTCAATCTTTCCCAGCATCAGGGTCTTTTTCAATGAGTCAGTTCTTTGCATCAGGTGGCCAAAGTATTGGAGTTTCAGCTTCAGAATCAGTCCTTCCAATGAATATTCAGTACTGATTTCCTTTAGCATGGACTAGTTGGATCTCCTTGCGGTTCAAGGGACTCTCAAGCATCTTCTCCAACACCACAGTTCAAAGGCATCAGTTCTTCAGCGCTTGGCATTCTTTATGGTCCAGCTCTCACATCAGGGTCACTTCAGGGCCCCCTGAAACCGAGCACTGCCTTGGGCATAGCCCTGGCCTGTGGTAGCCTCTGGCCGCCTGAGTTTGGGGTAGAAGGTGGCTTCCGGCCTCCCTGGCCCTCTCCTGAGGTGGGGAGCCCCCAGAGGACCTGCTGCCACCCCCGGCACCGCCATCCCAACCAGACCGGCGTTCTCACTGGCGGGGGTGGGGTTGTTAACCCGAACCCTAACCTGGCTAGGGGTCTTCAGCCTTTTCGCTGGCTGGAGGAGGGGCTTACCCACCCTGGGTGCTGACCCTCTGTCCCTGTCCTCCCTCTGCTGATGGGGACGCGGGTGGGGGTGGCAGCATCCTCAGACGGGAGGAGCCTCCGCGTGCCCCTCGCGTCCGTGGGGCTGGCCCGCAGGCAGAGGTGCCCAGGAGCCGCCTCCGGCTCCACAGAGTCCTCCTGGTGGTGCCCAGGGCGCCCCCCGCTTGCCTCCTGGGTCACTCATCCCCACACGCCCTCCCCCAGCCTCCTGGGACCCCGACCACCCGGGGCCAGGAGGAGCACGACCGCCACCGCGGTGCCGGGCGCTGCTCTCCAAGCCCCGCATGCCCAGGGGTCCAGCAGCAAAGCCTTGACGGGGGTTCACAGAGAAGGTCCGGGGGCGCTGACGTCAGAGCGCCTCCAGCCTGGGCGGCCGGGCTGAGCGGCTCCTGTCGCCCAGCACCTTGGTGGCGCCTGCAAGGAGGGTCTGCGGAGCCGGGCGGCCTGGCGGGGGTGGAAGTAGGAGCCGCCGAGGAGGCAGAGGGGCTGTGTCTGCCCCCGACACTGTCCTCTCCCGCCTCCCAGGGCTCCCGGGATGGACTCGCGCCCATTTCTCAGTAGGAACGCGGACCGGGAGCCGGCTCCTGGTGGGGGCACCACCAGCCTGGCTCCCGGAGATGCCCGTGCCGCAGGGGTGTTTGGGGAAGCGAAGTTTAAAACTGGGGCTCAGAGTCGTTGCGATGGACATTTGAGCCATGACTGGAGGGGAGCTGATGGGGGTGGGTGGGCCTGGTTGTGGTGGAGGCTCCTACTCTGTCCCGCCCTGTGTCCCTGTCACACGGGCAGTGACGGCTCAGGGACCCGGTGTGGATCTCACGGGCCACGGGGGCTGCAGCGTCAGGACTGGGGGCCTGGCCCCGTCCCTGGGGTGGAGCAAACGGCTTTCCGGGAGTCAGAAACCAGGGCACAGAGGACAGGCCTCCCCGGGGCCCACCTGCCTCTCTCCAGCCAGGCTCCTTTCTGGTGCCTGCCGGGCCCGCCTTCTCTCTGCTGGAGGGTGGGGACCCCTTGTCTTGGTGGGCATTCGGACAGGCCCTGCCCTGAAATGCCCAGTGCCCGGAGCCTGAGAGGGGCTGGTGCTGACCTGGGGCGGGGACCCACCCTGTCTCTCCAGGCAGGAAGCTCCCTTCTCCTGGGGCGGGCGTGCCAAGGGCTTCTCACTTGCCCTCGAAAACCAGACCCCACAGTGGGTGGGAGGGGCCGCGGCCAGGGGCCTCCCGGGCCAGGTCCCAGGTCCCAGGTCCCAGGTCCCCTCCCGCGTGTCGCTGGGAGGCCTGGGGTGGAGAGAGCTGCAAACACTGGCCCAGTGTGGCCCTGGGGCTGGCCTCACCCTGCGGGAACGTCTCCTTCCTCCTGGGGTCAGAGAGCCCCGAAAGGTCACGTTCGCCTCGGAGCGTGGAGAGCGGGCTGGGAGGAGGTTAGTTCTGCTACAGCCGCAGGGCCGCCCCGTGTCCCCTCCCTGCTCACACAGACTCCCATTCATCCTGTGCACCCACCCCAGGAGGGCCATCTGACCACACCACCCAGCCTCGCCCCGGGCGGGCAGCGACCGCACGGTCCCTTTAAGCAGGCTCGGCTGGGCAGATGCTGCCGGGACCAGCGTGCGGCCCTCCCCGGCCCCCCGCAGAGGCCCTGCGTCTGGAATCTGCAGCCGCATGGGCCAGAGGGAAGAAGCCTCGTGGCAGGGCCCGCCGTTCCTGTAGGCCCTGCCCAGAAGCAGCGCTGACCACCCCAGGGGAGGCCGAGTGTCTGAGCCCAGCTCAGGCCGCTGGCAGGGGCTGGCACTTGGCTCAAGGGAGGTGGCACCTGGACAGCACCCCCATCCAAGACTGGGGGGCCCCAGGCCAAGAGCTGGAGGTGTTGATGCCAGGCACTGCCCTGCCAGACTCAGTGTCCGAGACCCTGGTCACCACTGAATGTGACAGCTTCCGGTGAACGGTGCCAGGTGTGTGATCTCCGAAGGAGAGGCTTTCACTTTGAGACCAGAGAAACGGCTGCAGGCCCTTAGGGCTTCCAGAGGCAGGAGTTTTATTATAGTGAAAAAGGGACACAGGAAGCTTCTGACCGAGACATCAGCAGGGGGCAGGGAGTGCCCCACGGGCCGCTCTTACCAAGGCCTTACGTACTTTCTCAGTTGGTTACGAACAGTAGAAAGGTCTTAGCAGACCCAGTCCCACACTTGTGTCTTAAGATAACAGGATCAGTCAGAAGCTTCCTGTTAAGAAGGAGAAACACGTCCTCCAGCAGGATACGTGGCTGTCGCACAGTCATCAGCACAGAGCTTAAGGGACACTTACCTTGAGTAAGAGGGGTCGTTCTGCTCTGTAATCATTAGCTCTGGGCTTAAAGAGAAAACGTCTCATGGGTTGTAGAAGAAAAAGTTTGTCCCTTTCTCCTCCTTGAGGGCGCTGGACTCCTTATCAACCTACCTAAGAATTAACTCTCTCAAGTGGGTGTGGGTGTTAGCTGTGTGGGCCTGGGTCCCAGCACATCAGGGGAGGGAAGTGGGGCCAAGACGGCCTCCTGCAGCTCAGCTGCCCCGGCCTGAGACATGAGGCGGAGGCGAGCGAGCCCTGGTCTGGAGAGCAGCCCCACTGTTACCCTGTGTCCGTGTGACCCGGGCAGGGCCTGGGCGGGCCTGGCCTGGGAGCCTGGGGTGGGCCCTTGTCTGGAGAGCAGCTCCCACCGCCACCCCCACCCCGAGTTTGTGTGACCCGGGGGGAGCAGGGCTGGCCCGTGATGGGAAGCCCTTTGAGCTTCTCCTAGGCATCATCTGAAGCTTCCTTTTCTCTGCCAATAAACCTCCTCATCTGACTTCAGAATGAACTCTCGGGTCAGAACCGCCCTGACCCAGCAGCACCCACAGGTGTTAGACTAGAGGGGTTCCTGCACACTCTTCCTCCGGTGGCTCTGCCCTCTGCGCCCCCAGCTGTAGCCCGTGAAGGACTTCCAGGCTGCCGGCAGGGAGGGGCCTGGACCCTGTGCTGGACCGGGGCCCCATGGGGACCAGCTGACGGCCTTGCAAGTCCATCTGAAGGCCAGGTGGTTTCGGGTCTCCTCAGCAGCTTGAGTCCTGGCTCCCACGACTGACCTTGTGCTTCCTGTCGGGGCCCTGGGGAGCAGGCCGCGTTCACCCTGCGTCAGCGTCCGGGGCAGCCAGCACACGGCAGCACGGGTGGGGCCTTCCCTGACAGTTTGTCCTCTCGCAGCTCTGGGGGCCGGAAGAGGCCAGGCTGGCCCAGGCCTGAGCTCCCTCTGGAGGCCCTTTTCCAATCCTGGGGGCCCCAGGAGGCCCCAGGTGTCCCTGGGTTGTGGCCATGTCCTTCCAGTCTCTGGCTCTGCCTCCATGTGGCTTCTTCCCTCCAGGTACTGGAGTCCTGAATTGCCTCCTCCTTCTCGGGTAACGACACCCATGCTAGGGTTGTTGCGGCTGTTCGGTTGCCAAGTTGTGTCCGACTCTTTGGGACCCCATGAATCGCAGCATGCCAGGCTTCCCTGTCCATCACCATCTCCCGGAGCTTGCTCAGACTCAGGTCCATTGAGTCGGTGATGCCATCCAACCATCTCATCCTCTGTCGTCCCCTTCTCCTCCCGCCCTCAATCTTTCCCAGCATCAGGGTCTTTTCAAATTAGTCAGTTCTTCCATCAGGTGGCCAAAGTATTGGAGCTTCAGCTTCAACATCAGTCTTTCCAATGAACACCCAGGACTGATTTCCTTTAGGATGGACTGGTTGGATCTCCCTGCCGTCCAAGGGACTCTCAAGAGTCTCCTCCAACACCAAGTTCGAAAGCATCAATTCTTCTGCGCTCTGCGTTCTTACAGTCCTACTCTTCGCGGTGCTTGGGTTGAGGTCCCACCTAATCCAGGATGTTCTCAGCTCAGGAGCCTTATGTTAACCATGTCTGTAAGGTCATACTCCCTGTTTCCAGTGCCCAGGACCCACAGTTCAACCCACTTCAGTCACCACACAGGCAAGCAGAAGGCAAGGCCCGAGCTGCCTTCCCCCACGGGCAGTGTATCCCCAGGTGTAGACTGAGTGGCACGTGGGGGCTGGGGACCCCCTCTGACCCCTCTGCTGTAAGCCCCTCCCACCCCCATCCTGCAGACAGGGATGCAGCCGGAGCTTTGAGACGGGGCCAGGTGTCCGTGGTAGGGCTGGAGGATGCGGGGCGTCGGGGAGCTCCTGGGAGCCGCCCTCTGGGTGGGTCCCACACGGGGAGAGACCGTGGGAAGCGGGGGCAGGCAGCCACCTAGAGGCAGCAGGGCAGGAGCAGGCCTGGAAACCTCAGGAAACCCCCACCGTGTTCGGGACTAAGGAAAAAACAGGACGAAGCGTGCAGCGATCCACACCCTGTAATCTCGGTGACTCAGAACACGGTGAACGCTCGGCCTCTCACCCCCGAGGGCGTGGTCCCCGCTGGGTTCAGCACTGGTCCCTGTGTGGGCCGGCCGCAGATGGATGGGCGGGGTCCTTCCAACCTCAGGGCCTCTGGGTCAGCTCTCCTCACACCCGCAGTCAGTCTGCTTGTTCTAAAATAACCATGGTGGCCCTAAAGGCTCTCCTCGGGGTGACCCCCAAGCCTCCATGGGGTCAGCAGAGTCCTCAGTGCAGCCTGAGCTGTGGGTGAGACGCCCGGGAGTCACGCTCACCTCTTACACACCACCCGTAAGATGCTCCCGGTTAAGCGTGGCGGCTGTAATAATGTCTCGGAATCTCAGGGATTCAGACAGCGCAGCGGCCTGCCTCATGGGCGGCCCCGGGATGCCACGCTTCCTTGGGGACAGGTGGGAGCTGGTCCTGTTCTGCCCCTGCATCCTGGGCCCTGCCTCTGCCTGCGTGGTCTGAGGCCGTTCATGCCCGCCCTGCACACCCTGGGTTGGCTCTGGCTGGAGGGCTCTGGTGGGCAGGGCCCTGCTCTCAGAGGGCACACTCTGGACCATCCACGTGCACTTCCGCTCACACCCCTGGGACAGAATAGAGTCACACATCCACCGCAGCAGTGGTAGGGATGCCGGGAAAGCCAGTGTTTATTCTGGGCGGCCACGTGCCCGCGATGAATGCTGATCACCAGGGTGAGGCAAGGAGGAACGTATCGGGCACAGCCGGGGTGGTCTCAGTCTCACTCGGGCCGCCCTTCCCTGGTGGGAGGAGGCAACATGAAGACTGATGAAGTGACTGTCTTACTGTCCGTCTGTCTTCAAGACAGACCCTCCCGTGGAAGCATCGTGCATCCTGGGCTGTCCACTCTGAGGCTGCTGCGTGCCGTCTTTGGCCAACAAACACGAGCAGGAGAATCATGGTCATTTCTGAGAGGTGTCCAAGGGCCAGCGGGGCCCCTTCCCTCTGCTCTGCCAAGACTGGCCGTGTTTCCTGTGGAGGCTGACAAGGAGGGTGATGCAGACCAGCCTCTCCACTGGCCCTGGTGGCCCTGGTGTGAAGGACGGGGGTTCTTGGCTGAGCAAGCTGCTGGGGTCTGGGTGTCAGGGGCTGCCCAGATCTAACCCAGCCTCTCAACGCTGGTGTAAGGAGTCCTCTGTATGTGAAATTTCTGCGAGTGTGTGTGTGTGTGTGTGTGTGTATGTGTGTGTGTGTGTGTGTGTGTGTGTGTAGATTTGAGAGTATACACTGTAGGCTGTTCAGAATTGTGCTTATTCCCAGTTAACTGACTTCAGAGCCTTTCCTACTTTGCCCAAGTTCTTGAACCTTTTTTAGTGGCCCTAGGACACTCGAGTGCCCAGATAAGTCCTGTTGTGTCCAACCTGCCCTGTTGATGGACGCAAAGATCGCAATAGAGTCTGTGTTGTTTTACACAATGAGGTGGAGATTATCTTTGTATATATGTGTTTGAATTTCTTGTTATTTGTTTAACTTAATTTCTGGAAATGGAATTTCTGGGACAAGATATGTAAACAACTTAAGTTTCTTTCTACACATTTGCCAACTAGACTTCTAGAAATACTGTATTGATTCTCCCTTTAGTTGGCAAATATTAGTTTATCTCTCACCCTAAGCTCACCAATACTATCATTTCTCAAAGTCTTGGCAATGTTGATAGACCAAATGTGCTCTTTTGTTTGTATTCCATTGATTAGCATTGAATTTAAATAGATTTAGAAATATCTGCCATAAATGTTTCTTTTATTGTTTTCTGTCTTGTTTGTCCATGTTTTCTATTAAATTCCTAGTGTTGCAAAAAGCATCTGTTTCCCTCTGAAATGAGGACATTCACACAGTGAAGATGTGTTGACGGGCACTTTGAAGCAGGCTCTGGTTTACAGCTCCCTTGCCTTGTCCCACGAGGATGGCTTTTCTCTCTGAACGCCTGGTTTTTGTCTGTCTGCTGCTGACGTCTGCATTCTGGTATGCTGCGTCTGGAAGCGAGGCACTCACCCTGTGTGATGCCCGCACACTGCTGCATTTCTGCCGGGCCCTGCTGTCTTCCGGTGCCGCTGCTGGTGGAGGATCTGGGGGCTCAGGTTTCTTCTTTGGCTGCACTGCAAGGCTTGCAGGAATCTTAGTTTCCCAACCAGGGATCGAACCCCGGGTCCCAGCAGTGAAGGCGCCGAGTCCTAACCATGTGCCGCAGGGAAGTCCCCGCTGCGCTCAGTTCTTCTACGGCCCACCTTCACTCCAGTCCCCACAGGTTATATTCACCACTATTCCCGTGTACGTCCTACAACGTGGATGAAGCTTAAAAACACTGCAAACTGAAAAAAAATATATATAAAGGCTACATATTGTATATATATTTCCATTTTATGGAAATGTCCAGAAAAGGACAATTCTTTGAAACAGAAATTAGTTTAGTGGTAAAGAATCTGCCTGCACTGTAGGAGACCCGGTTTGATTCCTGGGTCAGGAATATCCCTTGGAGAGGGGATAGGCTACCCACTCCAGTGTTCCTGGGCTTCCCTGGCGGCCCAGCTGGTAAATGAACATGGTTGCATGAACATACTAATAGCCACTGACTAGTACATGTTGAAACAGGATTTTATAAAATGTAAATTGTATGTCAATACCAATTAAATAAGCCCACATCTTTGTGTGATTTCCTTTTAAAAAAGAATCTGTGAAGAACACTCTCTGAGTACTCGTGTACATGTCTTTATTCTCCATTCAAGTCTGCTGCTCGATTGATTGATTGATTGCTATATAAAGGCAACTTCCCAGACTCTCCCTGTTAGTGTTTTCCTGGTAAATGCGTCTTGGATTTTAATAACAATTGGTAGAAAGTATGTATCTCTCAATACAAAGTTGGTGTTTGATTACATAGGGAAAAATTTGCATTGCTAGCCTCAAAATGCAATGCAATATTTTAAGCAAAACTACGCCTTGAATTATCCTCCATGCAGGTAATTGTCAAATGCAGATGACTGTCAAACAGGGGAGTGTCAAATGTCAGCAAAGGGGTGCAAGGCCTGGATGTCGCTGCCTCTCGGATGCTTCCTGGTTTTCCTGGCACTTGTGCATCAGAGCCAGGCTGTTTCCCAGCAGGATGTGGCACTAACATTTCCTACACAAACAGAACTTGTCTCTACACAGGGGTCTCTTGTGTTTTATTTGGTGTTGAGTGGGGATTTAGAGTTGATATGTAATACATATAATTGCCTCTTTTAAAATGGTGGAATACTGTGTCCTAAGTGGCATTTCCAGGTGAAAAAGCTGACCTTCAGGACCAGCTTGTCAATGCTGCCTGTGAGACATCTGTCCTGTAGTGGGTTCAGAAGGACCCTCCTCAACCTGAGGCAGGGGTTACTCTGGAGTCTTCCCAAATCAGGGTGCAGATGAGCTCTTTGCTGCAGGCTGATGTTTGTTCTTGTTAAGTGACCTATTGCCTCTGAGAGTTTCCAGAAGTTTCCTTCCCTCGCTGTTGTGGATGTTCACCTGTTACTCTGGGCAGGACGTTCAGTCCCCTGGGACCTATGGACAGTGATGCTCAACCTCCCAGGGTGGCCATGACGATGGGCAAGGTGACGTGCTTGTGGGGCCGCCTGGCCCCTCACTGTCCTTTGAGGTGGACCCTGCTGCCCTCTGGTCCTGGTCTGGCAGCACTGCCCCCAAGCTGAGTCCAGAGGAAAGAGCTAGTGGAGGCTGTGAAGTCAGGAGTACGGCGGGCTTTCCCTCTGTATTCACCTCTCACCTTCTCTTCTGCAGGTGAAGGGAGCCAGGTGGCTAGAGCAACACAGGAAGAAGACACAAGGCCCACTGGGGCCTGGCAGAGCCACTTGCAGGGGCTTGGAGAGCCCGGCTTAGCCGGGTGGACCCTCCCACCTCCCCAGGGTGGACCTAGTCCCCGGGAACAATACTGCTTCAAACAGCCACTCCTGGAAAACTTGCATCTCAGGTACCAGTGCTGGGCCAAGCCTGGGAGTCCAGCTCCCGGGAATGTCAGCCACAGACCGGGGATTTGTTCTGTCTGCTTACTCTCACCACAGAACTGGACAACTAATTAGCAAAGTCATGATGTCACGAGCAGAGGCTTCCCAGGACAGGAAGGACCAAGTGATTTGGATGGAACCAAGAAACCCATTGAGCAGATCCAGGACGCAAGGAGGCTGTGAAGAGTGGCCTTGGGAAGGCGCTGGGCAGCCGGGGGTCGGGGAGCTCCTGCAGGGACCCCAGCCGGGGTGGCCCCTGCCTCTGGAGGGAAGCTCTAGACTGCAACAGGATACATTTCTGTCTTGGTCAGCCACCCACCTTGTGGCCATTCACTGTGGCGGCCCCGGGAAATGAGTACTCCCAGAGTCAGCATCAGCTCTGTTCTGAAGACAAGGAAGGTGTTAGAAAAGTAGCAAGAAAATGTTAAAATGAGAAAGTCATCATTTTCTTTACAATTGCTACCTTGATAGCAGCTCTGCTGCAGAACTTTGCAGACAGTGGGGGGTGATTATTACCTTCCTCGCCCCCCACCACCTGGTAGGGATGCCCCTCTAACAACTACAGGGGCAGGTGGGCTTGCCGGAGGACAAAGACTGTTCTCTTGGTCGATATATGTTGTTTGATTTTCTTTGATAAAGAGCATGGGATCTTTTCAAATAATAAAAAAAGAAAGAGCCAATCCCTGTTACTTTTAAATGAAAAAAGCAAAATTTAACACTGCCCACCAGCTTGGTTTTGTCTGGTTTTACTGTCAGGCTGATGAAAGTTCCATGATGGGGGACTGAGCGGTCTGTCCCTTCACTCAAGCTCCCAGCTAATTATTTTGTTGAATATCTGCTCTCTCTCTGCCCCTTTCCCACCTGCATTCACGTTACTAGACTTTCAAGTGTTTCATTTATACCCAAACTGTCGCTTTCATCTCATGAACTGGAAACAGAATTGTCGTATCCTTAAGATCAACATCAGAGAATAAAGATGCTTCAGTGTCGTAGAATTCTCAGGGACGTGGATCCTCTCCTGTGAGGGGCCCCCGCCCTCCGGCCCCGACCCCGGTACACAGCCCAGCCTGCTCCCGCCATGGTGTCTGCGGGGGGCTTCGCCTCGCAAGGAACCCCCGCCCGGAGCTCCGTGGTGCAGAACCACAGGCCTGCGGGGGCTTTCCTTCCACACCAGCTTTCACGGAAACACTCTGAAAGCGAGCAGCGGGGATGTCAGGTGACTTCAGGGGCGTGGACACAGGCCAGGTTTAGACAGTGCCTGGCCTGACGTGGCTGCTGCTGTTGGAATAGGGGAGAGGGATGGTGGGTGGGGGGTCACTGCCCGACTCCACGGGGTGAGAGGGTGCTGGGGGGGCCTTGTGGGGGTCGATCAATCCCCGCTCGCGTGCACAGACACGGTGCCACCC